AACGAGGGAAGGGAGGGAAGAGAGGGAAACGAGGGAAGGGAGGGAAGAGAGGGAGACGAGGGAAGGAGAAGGGGAGAAGGGAATTTGCGCTGCGTATTTGCGGCAAGGCGCCCAAAAGGGACGGGTGATTGAGTGCAGGGTTGGAAGCGGAAGGGCTGGTGGGGAAGGGGAGCCGAGGGAAGGGAAGGCATGTGAAGGGCAAGGGAGAGGAGATGGGAAGGCAGGGGAGGGATGATGGGCGTGCAGGGGGGGGAAATGAGGGCGTGCAGGGGGGGAAATGAGGGCGTGCAGGGAGGGAAATGAGGGCGTGCAGATGGGAAATGGCGTCGCGGAAAGGGGGGATGGCGAGGCGGGAAGGGGATATGGCGTGGCGGGAAGGGGAGATGTCGTGGCGGGAAGGGGATATGGCGTGGCGGGATGGGGATATGGCGTGGCGGGAAGGGGATATGGCGTGGCGGGAAGGGGATATGGCGTGGCGGGAAGGGGATATGGCGTGGCTGGAAGGGGATATGGCGTGGCGGGAAGGGGATATGGCGTGGCGGGAAGGGGATATGGCGTGGCGGGAAGGGGATATGGCGTGGCGGGAAGGGGATATGGCGTGGCGGGATGGGGATATGGCGTGGCGGGAAGGGGATATGGCGTGGCGGGAAGGGGATATGGCGTGGCGGGAAGGGGATATGGCGTGGCGGGAAGGGGATATGGCGTGGCGGGAAGGGGATATGGCGTGGCGGGAAGGGGATATGGCGTGGCGGGAAGGGGATATGGCGTGGCGGGAAGGGGATATGGCGTGGCGGGAAGGGGATATGGCGTGGCGGGAAGGGGATATGGCGTGGCGGGAAGGGGATATGGCGTGGCGGGAAGGGGACATGGCGTGGCGGGAAGGGGATATGGCGTGGCGGGAAGGGGATATGGCGTGGCGGGAAGGGGATATGGCGTGGCGGGAAGGGGATATGGCGTGGCGGGAAGGGGATATGGCGTGGCGGGAAGGGGATATGGCGTGGCGGGAAGGGGATATGGCGTGGCGGGAAGGGGATATGGCGTGGCGGGAAGGGGATATGGCGTGGCGGTGGTCGCGGCGGGCCCGCGAGAGGAGGCGTGGGGCCCGTCCGATGAACCGAGCCAGTATGGAGGCATTTTCGCAGCCACGAATGGGTATAAATTAGAAACGAACGAGGCAGTGTGGGTCGGTGAGGGGAGACTACTTCGGACGTCGAATGGCAGAGGGCGAGGGCGGAGTCGTCCGAACGACTCCGGATGTCGTCCGGCGGAGGGCGAACGGCGGACTGCGAACGCGAAAGGGAGGGTACGCGAGCGGCGAGCGGGAAGCAGCGGCTCCCCGCGCGGGACGAACGGGGGACGGCGAGCTGGAGTGGGAGGACGGGATGGGATGGCAGATGCTGGCGCGTCGAGGCTAAACGAGACTATGTGGGGAGGGGAGGCGCTGTCGCTAATGGCCTCGCGGTGAGGCAGCGAGAGGAGGCGTGGGGCGGTCTTGTCTAAGGTGGCGAGGCGCTAAGCGAGTGCGTAGGCGTGGCGATTTGTCCGCGCGTGCGCGCAAACAGCGTTACGCAGTTCAAAAACAGATTCTAACCCTAAATCTAGCTGTTCGGTTCATATGTTGCCTAGTCTACGCAAAATAACCTACCGCCGTGTGAGAGCGTGTGCTATCGACTAAACTGAAGTTTTAGTATCCTTTTGTGATTCCTAAGGTTTTGAACTGTGAGTGCGGGGAGCTGGACGTGGGGCGTTTGGGGGCTCACTTCGCCTGTCAATCGGGGAGTTGGGGCTGTAATCATGTAACCAGTTTTTCAAGTTCCTAAGGTTTTTGGAAACCCAACTTTCAAAAGTATACTGTTGCTTTAAGTGGTACGTAACACGCTCTTACATCTGATTCCTCGCATGAAACTGATGTGTGCCATATTGGAGCTACATTGGAACTCATGAGTGCACTCATTTGAGTCAGCAAGGTAATTGTCTTATGTGGAATTTGAAGACAGGTATTTTCAAGAGGAGTATCAAGCCAAATTCACAAGGACTTCAACAACCGTTTTCCAAGGCAAAATGTTAGAATGCAGTTAAATAACTGCTTCGCTATTTCCTTAGCTTTTATGTTAGACGAAATGTAAAACGTGTGCTTGTGCTTGATTGTCATCAACCTTTCTAGTGAAAACCATTTCTGATTTTTTTTTTTTGGCAAGTTAATTTGCTCTATCTACGTACTGACGTTAATAGCTTTTTCTGCACACGAGCCAATCCATCGTCGAACGCTGTGCAACAAAGTTTGGGAACGCTCTAGTACGCACGATAATTTTCATACTTAGGGAACTCCCTCTTCAAACACGAATCCTTGGATAGGGGCTGGTTTTGCCAGGCACCCAAGGACCCTCGGAGGTGATCCTGTGGGGACTACCTAGTGTGGATTAAATGTGTGCTTAGAGCCTCTAAGTCCCAAACAACAGTCAACAAGTTCAGGGGATGGGGTTACGGGACTTGATGTAACTCTGTCTAACACACAGTAATCGATGCACGTGAAAAAACCTTTGTCTATTGTTGCTGCGAACGGTGCTGCGACTGGTGACGACCTCGGGCAGATAAGCTAGCTGCTTCCATACTTTGTCAAGTTCGGGTTGGATTAGTCGAAATTGTCGGCTGCACCCCACATTCTAACTGTATGCTGTGGTCGTGCGATTGCTGAGATGGCAGTCCCTCGGTTAGGTTATCAGGGGAGATTTCTCGATATTGCTTCATGATGTCTGCCAGGTTATCCGGTATGTTAGCGAGAAGTATCTACAAATCACCAGGGTGCTCTGCTGCTTCGGCTTCTCGAATGTCAACAACGTACTTATCAGCTCTTTGTGCTACGGCATGTTTCGTCGTGATGGCGTTGACTCAATTGACGAAGACTCGGGCGATGTTAGTATTGAATCGCATGCTGAAGTCGCGCGTTGTTGATAGAGGAGCCAACCACAGTCTATGCGTGGTTTGTGTTGTTGCATCCAATCACATCCGAGTAAAATGTCGGTCCCGTCCAGGGTCGTTGCCAGCATTTCTTGGGAAAATGTAAAATGATTCCCACAACAAATCCGAGCTCAGCCCACGCATTCCCGTATCGCTAGTGGCGTGCCACCAACCAGTCTTACATCGACCTCAGGTAGACACCGGTTCATTGCCAGTTGCAGTTTTCGGGTAGTGGCGGTGTTGACCCAACTATGGCTGGCTCCACCGCCAATGAAGATGTTAACAAGTTTGTGTGAATTTTCCCGCCAAGTTTGAACGAACGGCACTATGGCAGCCACTATTGCCTTAGAACACACAAAAAGGAAGAGTTACGAGTTGGAAATGACTCCCAGCTCCTACAAACCCCAAGAGCCGAGGTATAGTGATGTGGAACAGTGCCACACTGTCCCCAACCAAGAAGGGTCTCGAAACTACCCACCACCAGAGCCTACACCAAGATAAATGTGACATTACACAAAGTAACGTAAATATTCTCACTATCTTGAAGTGTACCCTTTTCGCGGGCTTCGAGATCACTTGAATCTTGAAACCAAGGCTCTGGTTCTTCACCATAAACTCATCCTTGAGTTCTTGATGGGTATACTGCACACACCTGCGACACGCCGAACGTTCGACACACGACAAAATAGAAACCGCGCACGGGACACACACGACAAAAAAGAAACTGCGCACGGGACACAAACGACCGCGTGATACATACGCGACTAGCGATAACTCGCTATTGACTCGACACACACATTCGACATCAAGAATTATCATTCATACACTATTACAAGCATAACATATATATTATCTCATGCCCTCATACCATTCCATGCACACATGCATGCACGCACACGGACAACAAGCTGAGTGCAAACCGTAGGGTTGCACCAACAAACTCCCCCTCGGATTGTTGGCCTTAGGATCTTGCTCTCTCAGTTCAGAGCCATCCCAGCCAGCTTGCAACACTTCCAATGCTGCTGCTCCACCAGCCTCTTGGTCATCATGTCAGCTGGCTGCCCCGTCGTCTTCACGTAGCGCAGTTCAACTTCACCCGCGGCCACCATGCTCCTCGTCCAGTGCCATTTCACCCTCATGTGCTTGGTGAGGCCGTGCAACACGGGGTTCTTAGCTAGTGCGATGGCACCCTAGCTGTCACAATAGAGAGGGGTAGGTCCTTGCTGCTCCTCCCCCAATTCAGCCAACAAACGCCGCTGCCACACAATCTCTCGTACGGCACGGAAGAGTGCCATGTACTCGGACTCCACCGAGCTCAATGCTTGGTCCACCTGCTTCTTGCTTTCCCAAGCAGTTGGACCTCCACCAACACAGCAGATGAAGCCTCCCACACTTGTCATGTCCTCTGGTTCTGATGCATAAGAGGCATCCGAGAAAGCGGTGAGGAACAAACGCCCGGGTTCAACACCATCCGCGCCCTTTTGGCTCCTTTGTGCCGTCGCTGACTATTGCAGCCCAACAGTCGGTGCCTGGCCAAGATACTTGGCCACCCTCATTCCAGCTGCTACGTGCTCGTCATTAGGGCATTGAACAACCCTAGCCAGCTGCCCAGTAGCAAACGCGACGTCTGGACGCGTGTTGACTGCCGCGTACATGAGGCTGCCCACCAACGGAGTAAAATCGGCACCTCTCCTCTTCTCCAACGCTCTCCTCCTCTGGTCCCTTCACACACTTGAACCTAGAGGGAAAGGGAGCAGCCATATGGCCTTCACTCTACCCCAAGTTGGCAGCCAAGGCCTCCAGGTACTTGCGTTGGTGCACCCGCATGCACCGCTTCTCCACGTCTCGTTCGATGTGGAGCCCAAGGTAGAAGTTCACGTCACCAAGAGACTTGCACTTGAACTTGTCCTGAAGCTTTAGCATCACCTCCTCCACAAGATCAGAGGAGGGTGAGAAGATGAGGATGTCGTCCACATAGACCACCATGAAGCTCCTCTGCTCCCCCTCGCCAAGCATGAACAAGGAGTGATCGGCCGTTGAGGGAGTGAAGCCGATCTCCTTCAAGACTTCGCGCAGCTTCAGGTACCATTGCCTAGGGGCCTGCTTCAGCCCATAGAGGGCCTTCTTCAGCTTCAACACTCTGCCACTACCATCAAACCCCTCTGGCTGCACCAAGAAAATCTCTTCTTCAAGAATCCCGTTGAGGAACGCGGTTGTCACGTCCATCTGCTTCACCACCCATCCTTTGATGGCAGCTCCCGCGAGTAGGGTCTGCAGCGTCGTCGGCTTCACCACAGGAGCAAACAACTCCTTGAAATCCACTTTTTCCTTCTGCTGGTACCCCTTGGCCACAAGCCTAGACTTGTAGCGCTCGATCTTGCCGTCGGCATCGGACTTGATCTTGAAGAGCCACTTGGACGTAAATGCCTCACGCCCCTCCGTTAGCTCCACCAATTCCCACGTCTCATTCTCCTCGATGCTCTTCAGCTCGCTCTCCATTGCCTTCTTCCACTCCTCAGCATCACTACTCTCCAAGGCCTCCTTGAGAGTTGCTGGTTCTCCCGGCATCTCCACCGGAGAGAAGAACGCGAAGGCACACTCCTCGTAGTCACTCTCCTCGTCAACTCCAACCATCATTGCCGCTCCGATCAAGGCTGACTTGCCCGACTTTCCCGGTGCATCATATGTCAGCCTATTAGGGGCTTGAATTTTCCTCTTGCTCCTTCCTTCCTCCTCTGCTAGAGGGACTTGAAGGCCTTGGCGTTGCTGCGGGGTGACTCGAATCCGTGGAGCACTTGTAGTGCGAGGTGGGAGTGCGGGTGCACGCTCGTTCACTTGCTGCACCTCCTCCTCTTCTTCCTCTGCATCCTTTGCCTCTTCTCCCCCATTCACAAGGGAAGATTGCCTTATGGTGGTGCTACCGCTGCTCAGCTCCAAAGGCAGCTCCACATGCTCCAAACCGGAACTCTTCACCTCCCCAAACCGCACGCCTATCTTCGCCTCATTCTCCGCCTTCCAATCCTTGTACATCAGGTTCTCCTCTTGGACTCGATCTCCTTTGCGCGACCGTTCGCGCCATCGCCGCTACCAACCGCTTCACCCTTGGTGTTAACGCTTGCTGCCACTTGCCTCTCCTTAGGCATTGGGACCACAGGGATCTGCCACATCTCATTGTAGACATCCCTATCCTCACAAAGGTCCCATA